GCTGCTACTTTAAATTAACAGCCTTGCCCCCAAAGTTTGTTCATTGTCTCCTAGTTCTTTCTGCTTATAAACCCTGGACCTGGATGCCTCCTTTGATGACCCCTGGGTTTTGTTTTCTACCTGTAGCCTCTGCAATGAGAACATAATAAAATGGCCACTCCTGCAGCTGGAACATGATTGCAAGGTGTTTGGTAGGGCTGGAGCTCTTTGGGCAAGCGATGCTTGTAGACACAGGTGGTGTGAGTTGAGCAGTCACCCATGAGAAGCTTTTTCAACATCCGCAGCTACCTTATCTATGTCAGGCTTCATGCTGGACACTGGGCATATGATGTCCAGTAAGATAGGATCTCTATCTCTGAGAAGTGTCTGGTCTACAGGACAGACAGTCTTGTAAAGGAGCACAAAATGCTGAGAAGCATGGGGGAGCACATGACAGGGCAGGGACAGCATGGAGGGGGTACTGTCAGGCAGGCTCTGGTAGAGATGTTTTAGTGGAACTTTAGAAGACAAGTAAGAATTAACTTAATGAAGGGGGAAAGGACATTTGAGGTAGGCAAAAGTATTTTAAAAGATTGGAACAGAGGCAAGAAGGGCACAGTGCATTCAGGAACTCCCAGTCATCCAGAATGACTGGCGCGAAGGGAGTGGGTGGGAGCCTAGCACAATATGAGCCCGGAGAAGTCACCAGGGGCCAGATCCTGAAGCTCTAGTGAGCTGATTCAAAGGGACTTTCTTCTGAAAACTTTGGGGAGCTTGGGATAATTCAAAACTGGTTTGAACCAATTTTTCTTGTAACTCTTCCAGTTCCTGAGGTTCTGAGAACTCAGAAGTAGCCCTGTGAATGTGAGGGATGAGCCTGCTCAGTGGACGTTACAAATGACCTCATTGAATCTGGAGCATGGACAGTCACTTTCCATTTCCGCCTTTGCTCCCCATGCAGGCAGTGACCTTCGAGTCATCTCTTCCCTTTTCGTGCACCGAATCTCTTCCCTAGCAGAATAAAGATAGAAATGCTACCACCAACTCGTCACATTAGGAGAATTACTAAGACCAAAGTGCTCCACGTAGCAAAGAAGAGCACAGAAAGGTCCTCCTTAATTAGAACACAATGTCTTCTGAAATCACGTTTGGGGGAATGAGAAATGTGTGATAGGTGCAGCTGTTCTTTAGCTGACAGCAGGAAAACTGACACTCAGTCTTGGAGTTCGGGCTGATTCGGGAGTCACCCACGACCTCTTAAGGCCTGATTTGGCTGCTGGAGCTGGGACTGGGCTAATCGAGAGGTTGCCCTTTTTCTGAGCTGGAGGTGGGGAAGAACGGGGGTGGGTGGGGCACAAGGAGAGCAACAGCACATCTCACCAAGCAGCAGGTTCTTGCCCACCTTACAGGGTTCCTGGAAGGATTAAGATAATCCATGTAAAGGGCTTAGCACAGTGCCTGGCAGATGGTAAGTCCCAGTAGTAAGTGCTAGTGGTTAATGAGTATATATTGTGAGGCCAGCTCAGAACTCACAGTGTCTCCTCTCATGGAACACATATCCTTTGAGACTTTAATATTGTCTACCTGTTACTCCCTACGAAGCCCAAGCACTTCATGCCAGGTACAATGGTCTGGCAAGACTTGCATTCCCCATGGTACCTAGTAGTGTCCTTGAACTCTCCTTGCACCTCTTCTGAGATGGCACTGTCAGTTTGCCTCGTAGTGTAATTATGCATGTCAGTGTCTCACTTGCTGAACTGTGAGCTCTTCAGGGGCAAGGACAGAACCTTTATTTCTGGGCCCAGAAACAAGTATGCTGAGCTTGGCCCTGCATCAAGGCCTCAGCGCTTGCTGTTCTCTTTACCTGGCAGGTAAAGAGAGGTGTCTCTCCTGACCAGTAAGTCATTGCTTCTACTCCACATTTGATCACATTGTTCTTTTTTATTTTCATAGCATTACCAGTATTTGAAATAATCTCATTGTGTTATTCATCTTTTCCACAAGCATATAAACTCCATGACAACAGGGGCTTTACTTGTCCTTCTCACTGTTTTATTTCCCAGCTTCCTATACCTATGTTTGGCATGTAGTAGGTGCCTACTATTTAGCTGGGTCAGTGCTAAATCAAATGACTGGGAAAGTGGGCATTTGTGTCTCTTCTCCAAGGCTGAACAAAATAGGTCAGTATTATGGAGACTGCAAAAAGAAAAACAAAACACAACCCCTCCCCCCGCAAACAAAACAAAAAACCATGTGGCTACTTACTGTTTCCAAACTGTTTGGAGAAGAAAAAAGTAGCAGCATGAATCTCCTGAGAGGAAGAAGACAAGGTAAACTATGACCAGGTGCTAGATGTGAGGCACAGAATCAGAGGCAGAGAGGCAAAGGCAGGGGCTTGAGATCAGGGCTTTTCTACTCATCTCCCTGTGTCAGCACCTAACACGGTGGTGGCAGAGTAGGCGCTCTAGGAGTGACCACTGAATTGCTTCCAGCAGTCAACCCAGCAGATCCGTGACTTACACTTTGTATATAATTCTTTTTAAAGATTTTATTTATTTTTAGAGAGGGAAGGGAGGGAGAAAGAGAGAGAAACATCAATGTGCAGTTGCTGGGGGTCATGGCCTGCAACCCAGGCATGTGCCCTGACTGGGAATCGAACCTGCGACACTTTGGTTCGCAGCCCGCGCTCAATCCACTAAGCTACACCAGCCAGGGCACTTTGCATATACTTTGATAGCTTGGTTTACAAATATTCCTACTCAGTAAGTTCTCCATCTGTGTGGGTTAAGGCAGGGGTCCTCAACCTCCGTGCTATGGACTGGTATTGGTACCACCAGTCCGGGCCTGTTAGGAACCTGGCTGTACAGCAGGAGGTGAGCTTGAATGTAATGCACTTGAATCATCCTGAAACCATCTGCCCACCCCTGGTCTGTGGAAAAATTGTCTTCCACAAAACTGGTCCCCGGTGCCAAAAAGGTTGGGGATCACTGTAGAGATTCTCTTAAATTCAGAGTGTTTAAACATAGGCACACACACAAGATGATGCTTTGGCTAAAATCCACGCCACTTATTTATTCAACAGACAACTGAGTATCTTCTATGTTCCAGGCCATGTCCTTGGCACTGGGAATGGAGATAAGCCCTGGCCCTCAAGGAGCTCACAGTCTAGTGGGGGCAAAAGACACATAAATAAGTATAATGTAGAGTGTGCAAAGGGGACCACTGTGGGAGGCAAGGGGCAGAGGAATCGATTCTATGGTTAATGCCCATAGGAAAAGAAGACCTGCGTGTGTGTGTGTGTGTGCGTGTGTGTGTGTGAAGAACACATAAGGCAATGGTTCTCAAAGTGTGGCTGGTGAATTACCTACATCTGAACCATCTGGAGCACATATTAAAATGCAGATTCCCAGCACTTTCTGCAAAGATAATGAATGATTCAGCAGCTTGGGACTTGGGAATCTGTATTTTGAAGTGCTCAACATACTTTACACCAACTTCAAATCTGAGAGCTTGTGAGATAAGGTTGGCTCATTCGGCTGGTGTGAAGAATGGTCTGCACATCCGAAATGTTCTTTTGTGTTGGTCTTTAGTGATGGGCAGGGGGCGCAGAGACGAGGAAGGGAGCTGACATTTGTTAAGCTCTGCTGTAGTCTGTAAATTAATTTAATCCTCACAAAATTCTATGAGGTAGATATTATCATCATCCCCATCTTACAGATAAATAGAATTAGAGTTTTAATAATTTGTTCAATATTATAGAGCTAATAAATTGCAACACTGACATTTGAATCCTGATTCATTTACCTCTAAAGCCTGTCCACTTCCTATAACACTATGTTGCCTCAGGGGAGAAATTTACTGATTAATGTCACAATTTTCTTTTAGGTTTTTGCCAGACCTTGCTAGGTAAATACAAAGAACAGCTGGATGTTGCTTTGGTCATGCCCAATGTAACTTGGCAAGTGGGGACTTAGGGAAACGCTGGGAGGAACAATAACATGAGCAGCCAGTTCTTACTTCTTTTCCCATCGTTTTCTCACCCTCTGGTGGAGGGGTTATGAAAAGGTACTATGGCTAGGAACCGGGTCCATCTGGATGGAAGAACAAACACAGATGGATACCCATGAAAGCAGCTCCACCTGATGCTGAAGATTCCTGGGACTCAAAACACCCAGACTCAAGTTTCTCAAAAAATGAACTGTCAGGACCAGATGTAGGTCCAGAATTTGCATTAGCAAACAGCTTGGTCTTTAGAGAAATTGTGAAAGACTAGCAGCTTTTCCAGGTTAAACAAACACTGTTTGTCTCTTTATACATACAGTCTCAGAGGTACAACAAAATAGACATGGCTCAGAAAATAATGGAAAGTCCAACCACATTTAAAGAACTTGGTGGGAAGTCCAACTGTATTTAAAGAACTTGGGGACAGGCCCAACCTCCAATAAAGAAAACAAACATACACCGAAAGGGTAAGTGTTGGTTACATTCCCACTCACCATATTCAGTGTCATACAAACAGATCTCAGGCAGCAGCAAAGTGGAGAGTGTTAGAGCAAGAAAGGGAAAGGCACAGTAAAGGCGGCAGACAACAATGGGGGAGGGGATGGGACCTCGGGTTCAGGAGGCTGGTGTGTAACCACGCCCCTCTCCTGTCATGGAGCTTGGAGCCACAACACTGACACTTCAAACCACAAGGGAGTTTCCACCGCTGGAGAGCTCCTTTCTCATTTTTGGTGTTTCAAGCAACTACTGAGTCCAAAGATGAGTTCTGATCAAATCAGGTCGCAGCACTGACTCTAACGAACAGCACATAGCTTACATGTCACTGCTGAGTGTAACAAGGATAGTAAGCCAGATTTTATTTTATCACTCTATCTTCTCCTACCCAATCTAGCTTGGCTTAGAGTTGTTAAAAAAAATACACAAAAACATGCAAATCTGGATCGATCCTTTCTTACAAAAAACTTGATTTATTTACACTGCACTGATTCACACCGCCCACCCGCCCCCCCCCCCCCCCACACAATACACAGCTTCTAAAAGGCAGAGTTAGAGGAGCATGTTTAAACAAATCATGGTTTAAAAATATGCAGGCACTGTACCTGTGTGTTTAAGTGTACCTGAAATCTACTGACACTGCAAACTAGCTACACTAAAGGAACTCAGGGGGCATCTAGATGAAGTCTTACTCCTTTCTGCAATACCTGGTTGTTCTAGAGTCTAAACAGGATATTTGGGTGATGCTTTTGGCCAGCCAGCTGGCACATGGGAAGAGTATGGAAAGCCCACATCTAACTATAGAGCAGGTCTTCAAGCTTATCCTGTCACAAGTTTATAAAGATAAGGAACTATGTGTAATTGGGAACTGTGCTGTCACAATGCCCAGAATGCAAATGCACTTGTAACAAAATGTTACAATGTGTAAAATCAAGTCAACCATCCTGTGGGATCCTTGGGATCCTAAGCTGTCTCTGATTATGACCTCAACCACTTATAAAGGAAACCTCAAGTATGCTGAGATATAATTATCAGAATGTTTGGGTATCTTTGTTCCTGAAAATCAACTATTAGGGCTCACCTCTATGATTTCTTCTTGCATAAGCACACAGCACAACTCCTTAGAGACTGCTCATTATAGAGTCAAACTTCTGAGAGTTCAGGGGGTGGGTGTGCTCTAGGCTACCCCAGGGCTGAGCAGACTTTGTAAGGAACCAACCCTTACAGCTCTAAGTCTTATCCTGGTTCTGGGCACATTTCAGTTCTGCTCCAAGTCCACTTTGCTCCAATTCAGCGATGACAGACATGTATTTGAACTCATTCGGTCTGAAGTTAAAGGTCTCCACCACCCTGTACGTCTCCTTCCGATCAGTGGCATAGAAGAGCTGAACTTGGTTGGCAATGCACTGTGCCTCAGCAACATTCTGTAAGCAAGGTAAAAAGAACAGTGAGGTCCTTCCCTGCATGGGACTGCAAAGCTCTGTATTTGGGTCCTGTGGCAAGTGGATCCTCAGCCAGGAGTCACTGCTTTAGGAAGCATCCCCAACTCCTTGAACTCCCAAGTCTTAGTTAGGTGCCCCTTCTCTGTGTACTCAAATCACCCCATGCTTACCTCTGTCATAGCATTTATTGCACTGTACTGTATTTGTCTTTTTTTCCTTTTCTTTTCTGTCTGTCCTTGCTAGCATGAATTCCTCAAAGTATGTGTGCTTGTTTAACATCCCTGCACGTAGTGACATCTGGTGAATGTTTGAGTAAGTTAATGCACATGTTCAAAATTTCCCTCTTCATTCAGTTCCTTTATCACTGCTATTTCAAGGGGGAAGAAAAGAACAATAGTTACCCAGCTCTAAGAACAAGTTTGTGAGCACTAAGTTCTTGACTAACCAGGCATGACTCAAAGCCTGTTCCTGATACCAGCTCAGTGAGAAAACTAGTGCCAAAGCCAGCTGTGACAGTTTACATTCTGCCCACAGATTCTATGACACCCCCCTCTGATGGAGCCAGTCTCCCCTCCCTTGTGTGCAGGCTGTATTTGCTGATGTGCTTTGAACAAATAGACTGCAGTGGAATGATGGGATAACTTTTGCTATTAAGTCACAAAAGACCTTGCAGCTTCTGTTCTGCTATCTCTCTTTAATCACTTGCTCTGGGAAAGTCAGTTGCCATGTCATGAGGACATTTAAATAGTCCAACAGGGCAAGGAAATGAGGCCTCCTGCCAACAGCCATGAGAGTGGGGTCAGAGGTGGGTCCTCCCGCCCAACCGCCCTTCAGGTGACTGTAGCCCTCACCAACATCTTGACAGCAGCTCCGTGACAGACTGAGCCAGAACCCTCATCTATGCTGCTCCTGAATTCCTGACCCACAGAAACTATGAGGTAATACATTTTTGCTTTAAGCCACTAAGTTTGGAGCAATTTGCTGTGCAGCCATTTTTAACTAATACACCAGCAAAGTCCCAGGAAAGAAAAGGGGCCACCTTCTTAAAAGCTCAGAGGCAGGGAAATGGTCACCAGACCACTCTATGTAACAGAGGTGGGGTTAGGACATAGGTTACACTCTTGAAACCTTACATAAGAGTTGCTTCAAGCAACTCTCGCTTTTGCTACCTGTACATTCTCCAGTTCTAGCTAGTCAGAGGCACTTACTCACTGTGTTCATGTGGCCCAAACTCAAACCCAAAGGATAATGAAAAATTCCCTCTAAAACTGACCGTCAAAAGTATGCTATGTCTAGCTACAGAATGAGGAAGATGGGTTTATAAATACCCTAGGCCGCTTTATCTCCATTCTCTCCTGTGGGGCTCTCAGCTCATTTTCTCACAAGCAGGCACTAATCTCTGAGACTAGATCTTCAATCGAAAGCCTTTTTCCAAAATGCTGGCTATTTCAAATTAATAGAATTTCAGAGCTGGAAGGGGCCTCAGAGACCACCCAGTCTTCATTTAATAAGCCAGGAAACCAAAGCAAATGAGGTGCAGGGATAGGGCCCAAGGTCATGTGGGTAGCAAGTGGCAGAGCCACGATCAGACTTCTGGACTCCAGGCTGGTATTCCCTTTACTTCACCCTGATACTGTTTCAGGTGGGGCAAGATAATTAAGATCATTAGCTTTGCTTCATCAATTCTACCTTATTATACTCAAACATGCCCCAAGAGGACACTATTTCTAAAGCAAGTACATTGCCATAATCCAAGGCAGGTAGCACCATTCTCTGAGCCCATGAACAGTGGGGCCTCTGACAATCAATTTTTACTTGAGGATTAGGATGGTGGAGATAGGGGTTATTCAGCTGTGGTCACTCTAAAACAAAGCTGTTCCAACAGTAGAGTCTTAGGGGCTCTGTCTGCAGAGGTGTCTGAAGCCCCTTCACCTCTGTTTCAGCTGTTCTATCCTAGGTCTTACATAGATTTTGTTTGGATACAGGGTTCCTCCCACTAGTTAGAAGACTACTTGCATGGTGGGTAGAGAGGTAGACTAAGGGAGCTATGTGCATCTGTCTCTTGAGGGTTATAGAAAGCACCCAGCTCCTTATTCGCCCCCTGCCTTTTGCTCTCTTAACTCTCCATGTAAAGCAATAGTCTCCTTTCTTTCCAAGACCCAAGAAGATAAACATATTTACTCCCTATGTTGCTCAATAAGGAGGTATAACAACAAACATGATTTCTCCTCTTTCATATTACACTTCCAGATTTCCCACCACAGTAACTTCTAACACGTCATTGAATGAAATGTCCCACAATGTCCCATTGAATGAACATTTCATTCAATGATGTTTTGTTGTAATATTGATGAGATGCTATAGGAGCTTAACTGTTGTGTACATCAATTAGCCTAGGAAAAAGTGGTTTTGTTCTATGTCATTTTGCTGCAGTTCCAAGAACCTATCAACAACATAAAAAAAAGGAGTTACTTTACTATACTAGACATCCACAGTCAAGTTGACTTACACAAGGTAAACCACAGGGTGGGGCAAAAATAGGTTCACAGCTGTGAGTACGCACAACACAGAGTTTATTCTTGTATTATTATTAATTATTGTATTATGTTCCATAGGAACAACTGTAAAGCTACTTTTGCCCCACCCTGTATATATTTCCTGGTGTGCTGTTGAACGTTATAAGACCAGAAAGTGAATTTTAATGATGATGGGAACTGTGTAGCAGTTTGAGACCAACAAAGTGAGGTTGTCAAAATGCCAAGTAGAAGACTCCTCTGACCCTGAAAGTGCACATACACTAGAGGCCGTCCTGTGCTGAAGACCAGAAAGTAAAGTGCACTCTCCAGGTCACTCACTCCTTGGGTCAAATCTTAAACCTTGTCATTATTGGTAACTATATCCCCCCAAATCTCAATTTGCAACACCCATACTTTGTCTACTATTTCCTGTCTTTTAAGCTCACCTCCAGCTTCAAAAGTCTTTTTATTCCGCTGGAACTCACAATTCTGTCTCTAACCTCTCTTATGTTTTCACTTCCTTCTTTATCCAGCTTGCATTCTATGGTCAACAATTATAATCACTCCTGTGCTTTAACCTCCTGGTTCCTATTTTACTTCATTGTACCAGTTGGCTAACCCATAACCCTCACTACATCCAACGCTCAGCCCTCTCTTTCTGTGCCTGTACCTGCACAGCCCATCTCTCTCTGATTTTCCTAGACCACAGGCAGGCACACACTTTCTGTAAAGGGATGGACAGTTAATATATTAGGCTTTATGGGCCCTAGAGTCTTCGTTGCAACTACTCAACTCTCTTGTTGAGGTAAACAGCCAGAGACAACATGTAAATGACAACTATGGTTGTGTTCCAATAAAACTTTTTTTACAGACACTGAAATTTCAATTTCATATACTTTTCTCAGGTCATGAAATATTCTTCTTCTTTAGCCCACCCTTCCCCTGCAACCATTTAAAGATGTAGAACAAATTCTTAACTCACGGGCCTTCTAAAAACAGACAGTGGAGTGAATTTGGTCTACAGGTTATATGTAGTTGGGTGACTCCTGCCCCAGATAGTAATGTCAGACTTTCTCTTTTCCACGCTAACATTCAACACCTCTACTCTTTCATCCTCACTCTTAGACCTTTCCTTCTTTTCACTACACCAACTAGAGAGAATTTCTACAGGCTACCGCCCCCACTATCCACTTAACTGCATTTGTATCCTGGCTTTGCTTCTGTTGCTCTATTCTCCTCATTCCCAGACTTACCCACTTGAAAATAGCACTTCAGCAATTCTCCCCTTTCTCCTCATTACCAACATTTTCCTCTCTTCTGGGTCTTTCCATCAGCACACAAATATTATTTCTCCCATAAATAAAATAAAAGCACTCTCATTCCCACTTCTCCCCTCCAAGCTAATGCCCCATTCTCTCCTTCTCCTCAGAAAAAAACCCTTGGAAAAACTTGTTTATGCTGACTCTAATTTCTCTTTCCATTCTCTCTTAAATGCACTCCAATTAAATGTTGACCCTACTGCTCATTTCAAATGCCCCTTGTAAAGGACCCCCATGACTTCCATGTTGTAAAATGTAGTAAGTTCCCAGTCCTCATCTCATTTTCCCTACCAGCAAGTGGGATGTGGCCAGTTGCACACTCCCTATCCCTAGAAACATTTTTGTCTCAGATTCCAGGGCATTCTACCATCTTAGTTTTCTGCCTATGTCGTTGTTCCTTTTAAATCTTCTTTGCTGATGCTTCAGCATCTCCACTGGGCTCAGTTCTTAGACCTCTTCTCTCTTTTATCTCCATTTACTTCCTTGGTGATTTCATTCAGTCTCACGGCTTTAAATAATAATCTGTTGCTGATAACTCCCACATTTATATCTCCAGCATGGACCTCTCCTCCAAATTCCAGGCTCAGGTATCTAACTGCCTACTACTTGGAAATCTAATAGGCATCTCAGATTTAATGTGCCCACAAGTGAGCTACTGATCTTCCTGCCAAAGCTTTTCTTTCTGTAATCTTGTCTATCTCAGTTAATGGCAACTTGATTCTTCTGGAGAGGATTTTGGGTAACCTCCAGTTGAGTGTGATGAGTGGAAGGAAGAATAGGAGAAATGGGACTGACAGTTTCAGGAATAATAGACAGGGAAGCAGAGTCCCAACTGTGTCCAAGACTTGTGACTTATAGCTACTGTGAACTACTAGCTGAAGGCCATCACTTTCTCCTTCCCTGTATGCAGCTGGTAAAGAGAGAGAGGAAAAACAAGTGGGTGTTATAATAAAAAATCTCAGGGAAAAGAGGCATGAAAGTGGCCAGCATCTTGAGGACATCTTAAACTTAAATGTTGCCACATAAATGAGCCTAAAATGAGCAAGATCAGACAAATAGGTTGTACAGTAATCATGAAACTGCTCTTAACTCTGGATATGCAGACAGAACAAATATAATGGGTACCATTATCCATGGGCATGTGGTTGATGCTGTATCCCAAGGAATGGGAAGAGGGGCAAAGGAAGTCACTGTGCACAAGGAATGTTGTACATGTGAACAGTATGGAAGATAAAAAGATTGAAAACTATTCTAGACTTTGAACTCCTCTCTATACTTAAGCAGCCATTTACTTGCCCACAGTCTCTTACCTAAAACCCCTAAGGGCCAGATATGTTCTGCTGAAGTCAGAATTTTTGAATTTTAGAAAGGTAATAGGTACAGAGTGTATTCAGAGTGTTTGGATTTCAAAACTGAAGTGACTGAGAATCTGTACTAACTTCAAGTCTTGGAAGAGCTTGAGCAAGACCTAATTATTGTCAACTTTAAGTGAGAAATAAATTCATATAGTTCTCGTGAATTTTACTTCTCCTGAGCTTTTGCAGAAGAATAATACCTTCAGGGCTACTAGGTAAATCCAAAGAGGTAAAAGTTGATTCTTACCAGAAATGTAGAATCCATTTCTGCTGTCATCAGTACTATGCCCTTTTCTTCCTTAAGTTCAGGGTAGTGATATAAAATCAGCTGGCTGGCTGCAGCTTCCCCTCGGGTCTGTAAGGAGGAACACTTATCAAGGCTCAATAAGGTACTACCACAACAAAACTGCAATTTCAGAGCAATAGAGTGTCTGGAGGAAATTCTGGCTCTTACCAGCCCCTTGGGTGTCTAGTGAGTTGAGGACTGGTACGTGGGGGATGGTTAGGCCTGACAAGGCAGGGTGAAAGTGACAGTTTGCACAGTGTTATTTGTGTCTTCAATTGAAAAAGGTTTGGCTCTTTTCCCAGAAAATGTTTACAGTAGGCAGTGAATCCTTCATCATGGCTATATATTTAAAAACAAAACAGCACAAGCAGCTACCAAATCAAGTTCTAAAGAAAGCAATATGCTTGTGTAATTGCCACTTTTATGGACTAGTGCATTTCACAGTTGAAATCTACTCCCCTTGGCTGGCTCTGAAGACTGAGCTCTTTTAAGCTGTAGCAAACAGCTGGAGAGTTTGCACATGGGCCAGATTTGTAATGTACAGTTTTAAAATACAATCTGGGTAGGAGGTAGGGGGAAAAGAAGAATGAGAACATCATAATTTCATAAAGGATGGACAGGGCAGTAGTTACTAGACCTCAATACAGACTAGGAAGAGAGATTGGGTTCAAAAGCTAAAGCCCTCATACAGTGCAGGAGGAAACAATTATACATTAAAAAAAATCTCTGGCCTTGGCTGGTGTGGCTCAGTGGATTGAATGTTGGCCTGTGAACCAAAGGGTCACAGGTTCAATCCCCAGTCAGGGTAACATGCTTGGGTTGCAGGCCAGGTCTCCAGTAGGGGGCACACAAGAGACAACCACACATTGATGTTTCTTTCCCTTTCTTTCTACTTCCCTTTCCCTCTCTAAAAATAAATAAATAAAACCTTAAAAAAAATCTCCAGGTTTCATCTCTAAACATTCAGCAAGTCCTTTTATTATCATCTTAGTATTGCTAGGGTACTTTTAATAGTTCAGCCTCTCACTTCTCCTGAACATACTACTATACTGATCATTTTCATCATAATTATGTTCTCTGGACCTTTTTCTCATACATGTACATGAGCTTCCTGAGGGCAGGACTTTGGCTCAAAGGTATCTAGGTCCTAGCATAGTTTCTAACACAATAGCATAATGTTTAAGTTCACAGACTTTGGAGTCAATGACCTGAAGTCAATCAAACCTAGCTCTGCCACTATTAGCTGCATGAACTGACTTCTCTGAGCCTACTTTCTTCTCTGTAAATAAAAATAATAGTAACTATCTCATGGGATATTTGTGAGGACTAAATGATAATACATGTGCCAGAAAAATCTGGCACATAGTAAGTATATCAAATGTTGATTATTACAGTATGGGCCCAATCAATGATTGTTAGAAGAATTATAAAATAATTATAAGCTGCTCCCTCATTCTATTTTGTACTCCCTTTATCCCAACTTCAAAGTCAATATAATACATGCTAGGTTTTTGGGTTTTTTTTTTTTGCCAGATTTGGCCTCTAAATATAGAACGCCAATCTTCATTATGACCTGATGTAAAAATACTTTTATTTTAAAAGCTTCAAATGCTTTGGATTGAACTTAATCTAATATTTGTGGATAAAACAAAAAAAAAAGGAGGGAAGCAAACAAAACGGCATCTATGGAATGGAAACTATGCATCTAGCACCTTAGAAAGTGCTGAGCTGATTAATAAAACTCATGTAAAATGTGGAGCCTTCCCTAAGGTTAAAAACCTTAAGGTTCTAACCATTATAACTCACCCATGTTTGTTAAGTGAGGCTCATACAGTAAACGTTTTAGAGGCTGGGGGAAGAGACAGGAGAGAGCCCAAAGTAGTCTGAGAACATGTTTTGGGGGCTTTTCCAATTCTGAGGTATTGAATAGGGCCTAGAAAGCTAGCCCAACATACCAAGCATGACAATTCATCAATGCTATGACAAATACTGCAGGGAGTTAGTATGTAGCCTGTGTCCTCCAGCCTCAGCAAGGCTCATGGTCCCACAAAGGGGCAGGCCTCTTTCCTCTAGGGGATGAGCACAAGCCACCTACCTGAATGTTTATAAGTGCAGTGAAGTGGAGTTCAGTGCCTGACCATTGTCCTACAAAGAACTCATAGCCTTCCCTTCTCGGTAGTGCACACAGAAACTGGGGGAAACAATACATAAGGAGGTAGATGAATAAATACAATCATTTCTTCTACATCCAACCCCCTATATCATTCACTCAGTTTCTTCAATGTTTGATTTAAAACATTTTTTAAAGTTATGAAATTCATACATGGTAATATAACAAACATATATACACTTACCAACCCACCTGAGAGAGAAAGCATTAGATACCCAATTTAGTTAAGCTCTCTGTGTAACCCATTCCAATCCCAATGCAGAGTTAACATCTATCCTGCATTTGCTGATTGCCATTCCCTTTCAGGTTTTTATACTTTTAATGTGTATGTGTATATTCATAAACAGGAAACAGTACTGTTTGCATGTTTAAAAACATAAATCTTATTTATTGTGTATACTTTTGCAACTCGCTTTTTTCACTTCGAATTATACTTCTGAGATTTATCCATGTTGATAACTGTAGTTCTAACTCATTAATTTTTCACTGTTGTATGGATTTCTACTATAGAAATTCGCCACAGTTTATCTATTCTTCCATTGACGAACATCTGGGTCTTTTTCAATTTCCAAACTTCCAAACGCTGCTGAATTAAGTTTTGCTCCAATAAGTATGATCACATCAATACTTTATCATCTGAGGCTGATACTTGGATATATCAAGAAGTGATCAGTTTTATGCTCAAGATGTTTAGACTTGGGGATGAGTCATGGAGGAGAGAAGGATGCCACAACACAAAGGATAAGCAATCCAACTTGCACAAGTCACAGGACTGTCTCCTTACTGCCAACCACCCAGGCTCAGCTTTGTTTTATCAGATGGAATTAACCTCAGTGCCTATTTAACTGCTAGCCCCTTGTTAGGGAAAACATTTTTTTTTAGAGCTTTTATTGAGGTCTACTTGAAGCAATAAGTTACACATATTAAAAATGTACAATTAGATGAGTTTGATACGTGTACACTATGAAACCATGACCACAATAAACACAATGGACACCTTCTCCAAAAAGTCCCTTTTTAATTCACAACTTTCTCTCCCCAACTCTCCCTAGCAACCCCTGATTTGGTTTCTGTCACTACCGGTCAGGCTGCATTCTCTAGATTTTGTATAAAGGGAACCACAGAATCTGTACTTTCTTTTTGGTTTGGCTTCTTTCTTCAGCACAATTATTTTGTGATCTAGCCATGTTGTTGCCTATATTAAGGGCCCATTCCTTCTAATTCCTGAGTATTATTCCATGGTATACATGTACACATATACAATTCTTTAATTTATTCACCTGTGATAGATTTGGATACTTTTCAGTATTTTGTTATTACAAATAAAGCTACTATGAACATTTGTGTGCAAGTCATTATATACATGTACTTTCAGTTCTCTTGGGAAAATATCTTGGAGTAGAATGGCTGGGTAGTATGGCAGGTACATACATAACTTTTAAAGAAACTGCCACACTGTTTCAAAGTGGTTGTACCATTTTACATTCTTACTAGCAATATATCAGAGTTCCAATTGCTCTATATTCTCACCAACACTTGGAATGGCCAGTCTTTTTAATTTTAGTCAACCTCGTGGTATCTTACTGTGGTTTTAATTTGCATTCCCATTATGACCAACAATGTCAAGAAGTTTTTTAGGTGCTTATTTGCCATCCTACTTCACTGGTGAATAGTTTGCATCTTTTGCCCATTTGTTAATTGGGTTGCCTGTCCTCTTATTATTAAGCCATAAGAGTTTTTAATATATTCTAGATACAAGTCATTTGTCAATATATGTCTCGCAAATGTTTTCTCCCAGTCTGTGCCTTATCATTTGTATAAAAATGTCTTTTGAGAAGTAGAAATTAAATTTTTTTTTTAATGTGGTAAAACATACATTACATAAAAGTTACCAATTTAAGTATTTTTACCGTTTAACCATTTTTAAGCATACAGTTCAGCGGCACTAGGAACATTCACAATTCTGTGCACCATCAGCACCTTTCACCTCCAGAACTTCTTTCCCCTTCCCAAGCTGAAACTCCATATTCATTGCACAGTAATTCTGTCTCCTCTCCCCTTGGTCCCTGGCAACCACCGTTCTACTTTCTGTCTATAAATCTGACTGCTCTAAGTACCTCATGTATGTGTAGAAGCTCACAGTGTTTGTCCATTGTGACTGGCTTATTTCACTCAGCATAATGTTCTCAAGGTTCATCTATGTGGTAGCATGTGTCAGAATTTCCCTCCTTTTTAAAGCTGAATAATATTTTATTTTATATACATACATACACACAAACACATTTTATTTATCCATTCATCTACTAATGGACATTTGGGTTGCTTCCACCTTTTGGCTGTTGTAACTATGCTATGAACATGTGTACACAAATAGAAAATTTTAATTTTGATGAAATGTAATTTATTGATTTTTTAAAATACTTTGTGCTTTTTGTTATATACTTAAGAAATCTTTGCTAAATCCCAGATCACTAAGATTCAACCTAAGATCACCAAAACCAAGATCACTAAGATTCTATGATCTGTTTTGACTTAACTATTGGATATAGTATGAGGCAGGAGTAAGATTATCCTGTTTTGACTGGGTGGCTCAGTTGGTTGAAGCACCATCCTGTACACCAAAAGGTTGTGGGTTTGATCCTGGTCCGGGTGAGTATGGGAGGCAACCAATCAACGCTTCTCTCTCACACTGATATTTCTCGCTCTCTCTCTCCCCCTTCCTCTCTCTTTAACATCAATAAAAATATTCTCAGATGAGGATTAATTTAAAAAAGTGAAGTAATATTATCCTTTCCTCCATTTAATTACCTTGGCCCCTTTGCTGAAAAACAACTGACCACACATATGTTGGTCTATTTCTGAATTCTCTACTGTTCCACTTATCTACCTGTCTATTTTTATGCCAGTACCATACCGTCTTCATCACGTAGCTTTATATTAATTCTTGAAATCAGATAATGTAAGTCCTCTAACTTTGTTCTTCTTCAAAATTGTTTTGTTATTCTAGGTCCTTTGGATATCCAAATAAATTTTTTAAATCAGCTCATCAACTTCTTTAAAAAAAGCCTATTGAGCTTTTGATTGGGATTATATTCTAGAGATCAATATAGGGAGAAATGACAATAATATGGAGTCATCTAATCCATGAACATGGTATGTCTTTCCATTTACTTAGATGTTTTTTATTTTTTCTCAGTAATGTTTGGCAAATTTTTTTGATAATCCTAGAAATTATTACCAACACCCAGTCAGCTAGCCTACTTTACCTATTCCCTTCCCTTAGGTCTTCTGTAGGTCATTAATCCAGGAACAATCTCATGGTTCCTTTTATGTACATACAATTGGGATAGCATGGCCAAAACTGAGAAGAAAACTGCTAATAAAACAGACTCTTACAGGAAGTTGAAAATACGGTCTCAGGTGCCGCTCCAACATTCCTTTATATTGACGGATTAAGATCCAGATCAGAAAGGGCTGAGATATATAAAGTCAGAGACTTAATGGGCCAAACTCACAAGATTTCATAAGGCTAAAAATCTCAATTATTGGTACAATCAACAGATGAGCATCTCTGTTAAACAAACAGTGCTGTAACAGGAGACAGTATGGAACATCAAGAGATCAGCTAGAATGCATCCTTGTTGGCAGCACTGACAAGCAATCCTGAAACTTACTGTTGGACAGGACTGAGCCCGGGTCCAGATCAAATCAAACTTCTCTTCCTGTAGATTAGAAAGGAATAAAATTTACAAACAAACCAACAAACAAAAAACCAGAGAAGGTTGCAATCATACTAAAATTCACCAAGACTAAACTCTAGAACTAAAATACAATGAACACAATCTGTTTCATCATTTACAAATCCCTCTTGTGACAGAAAAACCAGACGCCTTCTTTGCTGTTCAGTGCCAGAATTGTGTGTGAACAGTGTATACTCCAAATGCCCCACACTCTCCAGGGGACTCTGCCAAGTGTCTGAGCTATCAGGTCACTAAGTCTGTCTGAAGGAAGACTAAAAAGGCCTGTCCAAACAATGAGCCAGTTTTAGAGATCTGAAACATCACAGAAGTACAGATCCTTTGGCTGTTCAACTTATGAAGGGCAAGGTTACATGCGTATAAAAGGCAGAAAAAACTAGCAATACTATCACAGCAACCAAAAGGCCTGGCTTTACTTTTATGCCTGTAAGTTTTTATCCTTAATCTTATACTTAGACATGTTAGCTTAGTATATATATTTATGCTCTTGATATAAACTTACCCCAAGCTACTTCCTCTTCAGGGAAGAAGAAGAGCATAGAGAACTAGCTGATAGCCCCATATATCAAATGCTGATCTCAATGGTCAAGCAGTGGCTGGTGACTATCTATTTTCAAGATGGCAATTTCAAGAAGGGGGGAAAACCCCACCAGAAAATGCCACTTGCTTGGGAAATGCCAGAAAAAAATTAGAAGGAGGCTCTAAATCAGCTCACTTATAGACAAGAAGGGAAGAAACTGGCCCTGGCTGGGTAGTTCCGTTGGTTAGAAGGTTGTCCCAATATGTCCAGGTTGTGGGTTTGATCCCTGGTCAGGGCACATACAAGAATCAACCAATGAATGCATAAGTAAGTGGAACAACGAATTGATGTCTGCCTCTTTTTAGCTCTTACTCTCTCTCTAACATCAAATAAAAAAAAAAAAAAAAAAAAGGAAGAAACCTATGCTAGAGGCCCTGTGTTAAATTCCAATAGCTTGGAAAATACCAAAAAGAAATAAAAGATTTGGAAATTGCTCAGCAGCATGAACTTACACCATGCTCCCTTGTCAGAGACTTGACTTAAAGGGACATTTCTAAACCAGAAAGAGGGAAAACAAGAGCCATAAATATACCATATGGAGCTTCCAATCTTTGGTACTCAGGGCATAATAAAAACCCTGAGAGCTATAAACATAAGTTCTCAAGAGGCAATAAACATAGGAAAAGTAAAGGCAACTGCCTGCTAAGGTTAGAGACATGACCTTCAAGCTATAACACTCTCATTTCCCCTCCAAACTACTTACAGGAATAACTGCGTAGACTGTATCTTTTGCTGCAAAGTACTGCTGCCAAATCTGTACAAAAAAGAGAGTATGTCTGTGACATGTGGCTAATCTTTTCAACCTGCACCAAGATGACAGCTTTCACTGCTCACAGTAACATGCTATTTGACAAGAGAGGAAAATCTAACACAATGCTTTTATTACTAGTTCAACATTACAAAAACATTTAATAGCATCTATTCTTCTAGGCGATTAAACTGTAACTCGTACTAACAAATTCCTGTCACAGAAATGAATACTATGACCTTGTTAATAATTTTTCTCAAGAACATGCCTTGTGTATAATAGACAAGCTCTTTTTTTTATCTTCTTTCGTCCTTTCTGAAACCCGAACTCCCTAGCAACTGTGGGTCTTCTCAGAGAGCAGGACATCAGTCACTCAGAGCCCAGGGTCTGGAGTCAGGCGGACATAGATATAAATCCCAGCTCCAATCATTTCACAGCTACGCTACTTTGGGCAAATTACTGAACAATAACTAAATAATACCCATATAACCATGAATAAAATAGAAACAGTGTCACCTCACAGGACTGTTGTGAAGACAAGCTGCAATAATGCAGGTTTGTGCTTGCACAACAGAACTGCAATGCAAACCAGAGCCCAGGTGCTCTGGAGGTTGAAAAAGAGGCACTTAACCCAAGTTAGGGAATGATTGCCAGAGGGTAGACACTTAAGATATATCTCGAAAAGTGATCAGGAGCCAGCCAGGTGAATAGGGAGTCTGGGAAGACAAACAGGTAGGGCAGAAGATAAGAGATACATTCTAAGCAGAGGATGACAACATTAGCAAAGGCACAGAAGTCAGGGAAGACATCAGAGCCAAGGTGACACCCCAGGTGGTGTTGAAGAATGGGTCACCCTCCTTTAAAGCTGCTCTGCTTTATTACCATTCCCATTAAATGGGGGACCAACTCAGGATACTAATCACAGTGTAATCTAAGCAACGCAAAGCACAGAAGGACCATTGCTTCCTAGGACTCAGGCAAACCACTCTATCAGTGCAGCCTAAGGTTGCTTTGCTTTTCTTTTTTTTCATGTCAGAACACTGTCTTCTTGTTTTAAGGATAGCATATCCTGCCTATTTTTATTTAATTTATGAGGTCTGTCAAGAAAAAATCCAGCCATTGTTAATGTAACAAGAATAGTTTCTACAACATTGATGTAACCTGGCAGCCAAGGAGAGTAGACTGGAATGTACATGTGTGAACAATGACGACTTCATTGTAGTAGTTGGTGGAGGCAGTAGATGCCATTGAGTGAGCATGTGTACTGTGTGGCTGTCACATTCAAAATGACTGAGGGAGTAGAGCAATGAATCTGCATCAAATTTTGCATTAAGCTTGAACATTCCTCTGCAGAAACTATTCAGATGATTCAGAAGGCCACAGCTATGGGCAATTGGCAGCTTCACTGTGACAACGTGCCTACTCATGCATCACATCTCATGCAGTTTTTTGTGAAATATCAAATCACCCAGGTGACTCAGCACCCTTATAGCACTGTGACTTCTGGCTTGTCCCCAAACTAAAATCACTTTTGAAAGGGAAGAGACTTCAGACCACCGATGAGATTCAAGAAAATATGATAGGGCAGCTGATGGCAACTGGGAGAACTGTGTGAGGTCCCAAGGTGCCTAATTTGAAGGGGACTGAGGCATCACTGTCCTATGCACAATGTTCCTTGTATCTTGTATCTTCTTCAATAAATGTCTCTATTTTTCTTATTACATGGCTGGATACCTTCTAGACAGACCTTGTATTATTAGTTTATGAATAAACACTATAATGTATGAGACTGATAGATGTTTCCTAACATAGTTGACCTTGGTTACTCAAAATCATTTTAACACACAAATTTGTATCTAAAATTATAGGTGTAAATGATATTTGTCATATGATCAAGACCTCTGGGCCTGGCTTAGGGAAGCCTAAAGGACATGCTTGGTGTCCACTTTCCATTGGCACTTCCTCCCAAAGGCAGTTTGAGGTCTCCTCGAAACTTTGCATAAGTCTCTATCAACAAAGGTTAAAACCCTGTGCTGTCCTTATTTTCCTGTCTGTCCTTCCAGCACCAGGATAATGGTGGAAGGACAGATACAAAAGCTCCATCAAGCTCCTTGAGAGTAGGGGCTTCTCTCATTTATCTCCCTGGCTGGCCCAGAGCCTGACATTTAATAGGTATTCAATAAATGCTTGCTGAAATGAATGATACAGCCCGCAAAGAAAAACCATGGCAATCCACACAACTTCCCATAAGGGAATGCGATGCAGAGTCAAACAGACAGGGGTGTGCGTCCTAGCTCTGCCACTCACGAAGTCATTTAATTCTTCAAGTTATGGTTTCCTTGGTGGTGAATCAGGAACAGAAGTATCTACTTTACAATGCAGTTATGAGAATTGAATGAAATAGTGCATATGAAGCACTAAATAAAGTACCTGACACAGAGTACACTACTTTTATTATTTTGATTCTCTCAATATACCTAAAATATAATTCATGGAACCATAAGGAATGCCAACAAATAGCTTATTATAGTCTAATTAGAGAAAAACATCATAGACATGAAAACTTAAATAGAAGTGTAAAATGAGGTATTGGAATGACCAAATTGGCAGGACAGATCAAGAGTGCTTTGAAGGAAGGTGTCCAGGAAACTTCCTGCAGAAGGTCCTATAATAATGGAGGACCCTAAGTGCCAAGCAAAGGAATATGGTAAGTCATCAAACATTTGTTGAGCAGGTTACTAACTAATATTTTTATTTATTTATTCAAAAACACAAGTATAGCACTTACTCTGTGCTAGGAACTATTTTAAGTACATTACAAATATTAACTCATTTAATTCCCCAAATAACTCTATGAGGTAAGTACTATTATTATTTCCACTTTACAGATAGGGAAACGAAGGCTCTGCAGGGTTAACTAACTCATCAAAGTCATTCAGCTAGTGAGTGGGCACAACTAGGACTTTAAATAGGCACCTTGGTTCTAGAGTCTGTGTTGTTAACCAATACATTAGTCTTCTCCATAATGAAAGCAGAACTCTAAGAGGATTCAACTGGTGAGGATATGATGGGGGAGTGGGAGAAAGAAGAGCAGGGAGACCTATTTAGAAAGGTGGTATAATAATCCAGGTATAGAGTAGTGATGATTTTAAATAAGATGTGGGGAACAGGAATGAAAAGACAGGGGAAATGTAAGTTGACTAGATATACAGGAGTGAGACCAAGAAAGACAAGTTTTCTTATGACACCATTTTTCATGTAATTCATCACTCTTGCTATCTATGGCTATAGAGAGGTGTCAGGAAATGTATGCTCCTTTCTACTTTCAGATTTGGTTCACGGAGCACACATTTCCTTAAAGTACGTCAACCCATCTCTGTTCATTACCTGTTTTATTTCATCTCCAGTTTTGTCTTTCACCATCTCAATGTTAAAGATTGAACTGAGAGTCTGAAAGAGAAAATAAAAAGCAATTAGTACCCACAGTTTAAAAAATAAAACAGCATCACTTTATCTGTAAGTCTGTGGGAAGCAACATGTCAGGAGAGTGAATCAGATCTTCAGTAAAGACAGAACCAGGGTGAGAAAGCCATATGCTCAGGTAAGTGAGCCCCTAAGCCCAGGCAGGCTTTGGCAGTGCTATTCTGGGGAGTATCTCGAGGTATGTCTTAATCCTTCACCCTCACAATGAGCACTGCAGTGCTTTGCAGCTAGGAGGAGAAATTTTGGTTATCTTTAATGGCTATTCTGCCAGGAGTGGCTTCTTATTTGCAAATTAAGTGACAGAGTAAGTATGTTTTTATTTGATTTTTAAAAACAAATCCCTATAGAAAAAAAGGTATCACTCTATTTCCTCTAGCACCCTCAGGACCCACACTATGCTAGGGGTTACATCAAAGACACAAATACTCATAGAAATATTTCTCATATCCACAGCTGATAAATCACAAAATCACTGAACCACCATAAACATGTTCAAATTTGCAGCCTCTTGTTGCAGTTGTTGCATGTGGCTTCAAACCTGGATAATCAATTAGACACCTACCTTGTCCTTAGTGAATCCTCCGCTCATAGGCTGTTTCCCTGAAGCGTTTGTCTGAAATATATGATAGATAGGGCATTAATCCACACTGATATCAGAAGGAAAAGACCACCAAGTGAGGTGAGGTGCCAGTATCTCATCCAGTACTTCTGCACCTAAGAACTTACTTCTCTCTACTCCATACAGTAACTATACACACTGTTCTTAGAGTTGTTGTTTGTGAGACCACTTTTCTTTGACTAAGCTTCTGAGATACAGAGATGAGAAGATCTCTTTGTTAGTCACCAGCATGTGCTAAGACTGAGAGTGCATCCTATACCTGCCACTATGGATATAAGGGACTCCTTCCCAGATTGAGGGCTGCTTGGGTTTTCTGTGCTCTGCCCTCTGATCTGCTCCACAGTGACCACAGATGAGGTGAGAAATGGAAAGATGTCTTTCCCAAGGCTGCTTCTTACCGGAGACAGCACTTCTGATGGCAGACATACTCAGCAGACTATGGAGTTTTTATACTATGCGGTCTTAATATTCTTTCCATCAAATTAGACTTTGCCTCAAAAAAGGCCAAGAACAACTGAAGGTGATTATAGTCTCTCTTAATCCAGTATCTGACAAAGGCCACAGCCAGGAAACCCTATTTTGAGTTGTTTCTGAGTATGGGGACGACCTGTTCTGAGTCTTCTGTGCAACTTCTCAGTTGAAGACCATGCCTTTTCAGGGGAAAGGAGTACAAGCTGCATCTGGGATTCTGAAGCTGAAAAGCACTTTCTGCATAAAACCTGCCTTTTGTTACTCTGTGATTTCATAAATCCAAACCTCCCATAAATTATGCCCATAGATCTTTTACCCACAAATCAGCCAAAAGCCTGGCGTAGAAAAATCTATTGGATGCATCCTGGTCTTTCTGGTCATACTCCTATACCGTGACAGCATCCTAATGCAGTCTTTCCTTCATACACAAACTATCCCAAAACAAAAAAGATAGTTGATTTCATTTTTTAAATTACTCTATTGTCGTTCAATTACAGTTGTCTGCATTTTCCCCCCACCACTCCCCCCCACCCCAGTCAAACCCACCTCCCTCCCTTCCTTCCACCCTCCCACTTGGTTTTGTCCATATGGCCTTTATAGTGGTTCCTGAAGTTGATTTCATTTTCTTACCACTCGCCTTTAGGTGTATTGTGAAAACAAAACAAACAAAACCCTCTACTCGCACAACTGCCTGCACCTTTCAATCACCAAACCTTGTATATTCTTTCCCCACAATATCCGTCTAGTTCATCCTTCCATTTCCATTTTCACTTACAAATATAAAAAATTTAAGCTTATTGTATTTTAACTAATTAAAGACATCACTTATCTTAAGACACACCATTATTTTATGTATCAGAAAATGGTGCCAATTAAACAACAACACAACAGTTATATTTCATTATCAATTTTAAGACAATTTTAGAGATGTCAAAATGGGAAAAAAAAGGTGAACTTGAGAATCAGTGAAATAAAGTAAAAAGGAAATTGAAACTATGAGCCAAAGTCTCAAGAGCACTGAGCACACTACTACTCCCCGACGGGTCCTTTTGAGATCTGTGTGGACAAGTGATCTGCCATCACAATGGACTGGATGGTGACACCTGCACTTATGGGAGGGACAGGGATGCTGAATGAGCAGCTGCAGTTTTACAGATGAGTTTTATATATAATGAAGATTTTCCCTCATCCTACAAAACTTCTCAATGTCTAGCCAGACACCCTTTTAAGTGAAAAACCTTTTTATAATTACCTGGGCCTAGAATCTAACTCTGTTTTCCTTTTCTTTCTTGTTCTTCCTTCCTCCCTTCTTTTCCTCTTTCCTTCCCTCCCTCCCTCCCTCTCTTGATTTTTTAATAACATGGCTTTAATAAACAAAACATTTTTCAGAACCAACTACTATGTAACTTGAGAGGAGACTATATTGTGGAATCTCATAATGGTCATTGTTTATAACACTGCTCATGGTTTGAGAGTTTTTACAATTACCAACACAGCACCCCTGTACCAGTCAGATTTTGTTGCTTATATATTCACGGTGTTTTCACATATAGGTTAAAACATCTGATGACTGCATTAGGTCTCATAGAATAATTGTGCTCAAAAACTCACTTATTAAAATATGCGTTTTAGTAAAAAATATTTTCCTTTATATTACAGTTAGGGTATTATATTGATTTTTTTCCTCCCTGAAATGATGTGTGTAGGTGGGTTATATTGTCTACATTTTTAAAGAAAATTTTATTTATTTATTGTTAGAGAGAGGGAAAGAGAGGGAGAGAAACATCAATGTGTGGTTGCCTCTCATGTGCTCCCCCCATTAGGAACCTGGTCTGCAACCCAGGCATGTGCCCTGGCTGGGAATCGAACCAGTGACCCTTTGGTTCACAGGCTGGTGCTCAATCCACTGAGTCATACCAGTCAGGGTTATATTGTCTACATTTTATTTCAGGGTAGGAAAGGGAGAATTTACAAAAAATTATTGCAAAAAGGGGATGCTGGGTATTGTGTGATAGGAACCAAAGACTCGAAGTAAAGAAGAGGCTTTTGACATGGAGCCATTAGCTATTAGCCTTTTTCTGTATAGATAGGAAAGAAAGACAGTAAGTAAATATTTACCCAAGAGTTGCCATAATTTAAATGAAATCTTTACTTGATCTGCATTTTATCATCAAGTTGAGTTTCTAAGTCTGCCTACAGAAAGGGACAAAAAGCTCTCCCATATTAATATTGAAAGTTTATAATACAGTAGAGAACTATTATTGTCACTATAAATTTATCATAGGAAATTGCATTTGTTAAAATACTCGTAGTAGAGTTGTTTGCTTGCACAGAGTTGTAAGCTGTGTTTGTCACAGGAGACTGGATTTACTTCCCAACCCTAGAACGACTAACCCACTGACTTGCTGTTGTTTTAATGAACCTCCTGAGGTTCATAAAAGGCTGAGTGGATTATCATAAAACTTAGGCTACCCAAAGCTAAAAAGTTATTCTCCAAGCAAAAGAAACATCTCTCATTTTAAACACAAAGTGGAATTCCAATTTTCCACCATAGCTACCTTAATTTCAGATGCACCCAGCCCATACCTGGGTTACTGTACATTTCCCCTGGTTTTGGCCTCTCCCACTCCAATTAATTCTGTGCATCACCCTAGATAAATATTTTTCAAATAATAGGTTGAAATCAATTTAGTGGATTATGGCCAAAGTTTTTAAAAAGATAAAATAACTAGAGTACATTGCATGTAGTAAAAGCATTGTCATATAAAAATTTTTTTCAGTTATAATCGTATGCTTGTATACTAAATTACAATGTAAAATATATTTCTTACTGGGGGTCATGGTCAAAAAGTTTGAAAAGTACTGCATTATATTACTTTCCTATACATAGCTTCAACATGCTTTCCCCCAGCTTTGATTCTTATTTAAGGGTAATTGCTATAAAGCCCTTTTTTGCCCCCCAATCTTTATAGCCCGCTGCCATGTGTGCCTTAACTCAATCACATGACTGCTCCTCTGGGAGCAGTGGCTACCTTTTCCATCCCTCCATATCCCCACATGTTTGCCAGAAAGGTAGGATACCATTTATGGATGGAGACTGAGCTGAACAGAGAGAGGCTATGTTCAGTTCATCCAGCTGACCCATTAATGAGTCCATTTCCAGGATAAGGGTTGGGGCTGAGGGTGTAGAGTACTGGTGAGCCAATAACACAAAAAGGGGCAGGTCTTACCTTCTCTTCCACGCATTTGATAAAGTCACCTTGCCTGGAGTGCCCCACTGGCTGCTTCCGAAACTCACTGCGTTTCTCCAGCCGGGACTCAAAAGCGGCTGGGTCAGACCTGATCAAAGGTAAACCAGAATTCAAACCACTGGCGGCTTTTCAGATTTGGAAACAACATCATGATTCACTTCTACAGAGAGGGGTCACAGGCATTCAGAGGCTGAAGGATTTGCCTTTAGTCAGTCAGGCCTGAGCACAGGGCTACAAATCAAAAAGTGGAAAAAGAAATCTAGCTTTTAACTGTTGTTAATCCTCAAGAGGACTTTGTAACATTTTTCTTCTGCAGACTATTCCCTAGGGTGACAGAAAGCTTGGTCAGATACTTACACTCTGGGTACTTAGAATTCAAATCCTCAAGATGGGAAGGGGACTATGAGATCATCTTGCTGGGTCACCTCTTCAGACAGGAATCCAATAGCATTTGTACCCTGTGTCATGCTTTTATTTGAACACACCTAGTTCTTGGACAGCTTCTCCCTAGGTTAAACACCTGTTCATTCAGATGTAGGTGGTTCAAAGGCTTCAGGCAGCCCATTTTGCAGATTTAGCACCTGAGTAGCTCTCTGACCCTTTCCAAAAAACCTGCTCCTGCAGATGGAACATCAGAACTTTTATGTCAAAATGGGGCTGGTCTTCAGAGCTGAAGTCCAGGTTGAGGCCGCTGTCCTTGTCAAGAATTCTTTAGGCTGTGTAGCCAATGTGATATTTAGCTCTGTACACCTTGGTGAAGACTCCAGCTGCTCATCCATAAGACCTGTAATGTCATGGGTGTTATCTACAAGATACAAGCACATCTTGCTCACCTCTCTAATGGAAGCCTGGCTGGTCAAGGCACTGTAGGGGGCCCCTCTTCCATAAAACTCCTTTCCAGAGGTGATATTAAACATCACTGCCATGTATGTGAGTGCATCCTCATTCCCTCTGCACCAGCTCCTTGGTGTACCATGTGGTTCCAGGGGCCCTGCTCAATGGTGTGTGTGACAACTGCCCAGCCAGGGCTGCCAGTGCCAGAACCAGGGTCAGGGCTGCCAGTCCCCACAGCCACACCTAGGCCTCCCATGATGAATGGAGAGAGACTGAGGAGCAACTTAGGCAGTGTAGTCTGTGCACTCCTGCCTTGCATGTCTTTTATTATTAAAATGTTCTCAGCCTAAATTTATCTCTGTATCTTTCACCTTCAGGAATAAGAGAAACATCTAATTCCTTCCATATGAGTACTTGAAAATTACTATTATGTCACTCCTTAAATGTCTCTTCTCTAGGTGAAAACAATTTTTTTGGCCCCTTTTTATATACACCCACCTCAACTTCCTCTAATCTCCAGGTCCTTCCACCTGGAAGCTGAGGGGGTAATGTTAGGAACTCTGGATGCCAAGTCAGATAAATCCCAACGAGCTGTGTGTTCTTGGGCAGGTCTCTTACTTTCTCTGATCCTCGGTTTTCTAATCTTAATGAGAGGGTTCAGCTGATGATTCAACTGTGACACTACTAGTCTTTGATACCCTGCTCCCACCTCCAATCTCCTTTCCTTGCAGTCAGGGCTCTAGCTAGGAGATTGGGAACATCAGTTTCAGCCCAGACAGCTGACTCAATATGTGACCTTGAGCAAGTCAAGTCCCTTCTCTGGAAGGCTCCATTTTCCCATTTCTATAGGGCAGGTGTCTCGGAGCTGCCTACTTCATAAGGGCTGTTAAGTCTTTCAGAACTAAAGAACAAAGGCAGACAAAGGAGAAATAGCAAGGGCTTTGCGGAGACTATCAGCTTTGACACTAACTGTGTGACTTGAGGCAAGCAATCTTGCCTCTCTGAGCCTAGATATATCATCCGTCGAGTGGGGACAGTAGTAGTGCCCACCTTGCAGGGGTCTTGTAAGCACCTAAAGCATCAGGCACACCAGAAGCGCAGGCCAAGCACCGCCCCTCCTCCCTGCCCACAACCGGGCGGCCCGGGCCCGCACCTGCGCAGCTGCTGGATCTTGTCGCGGTAGCGGTCGTAGAAAGGGTTCGCCTCGAGCTCGTCCCCGATACTGTTGCCGTCGGCGCCCCCCGAGGGCAGGCGAGAGCCGCAGCGCACCGGAAACACGCGCAGCTGGGCGGGTGCCACGAGCCCCAGGCCCGGGGCGCGGCTCCGCACTGCGCACAAGCCCCGATAGAGACCAGCTAACTGCAGGACGGCTGGACCCGCACCACCCGCCGCCGCTACCACTGCGGCCATGGCTGCCCCGACCTCCTCCTCCTCCTCCTCCACGTCCTCAGGCGCCGCGGACTCGGCCCACGGCCCGCGCGCTCCCTCCATCGAGCTCCGGGTCCGCCGCGTCGGCGCTCCGGCCACGAGGTTCCGCGCGCGCAAGGTTCCGGGAGCCGGGGCCGGGCGAAGGGGACGGGGCGGGGAGAAAGGGTCTCGAAGGGTCCTCGCCCTATGCACTTCCTGTGTCGCCGCGCGCTTCCTCCCCGGAGCCTGACCGGATTTGCTCCCTCCAACTCCTCGTCAGCAGCCTCTGCTTTCCCAGTCTTCTTTTGAAAGCTTCTCAGATCTGCTGGTCCAGAGGACAGAGCTTGCCCCCTTTTAAATTTTCTTGGCAGTTGCTTATAGTAGTTGTCCTTCAGGATCGAAGGTCCTTTCATCAATTGTAACCACAAGATCATTTTCTCTTTACTGAGTGTTTCTATATGCAGAACACTATCTACTTCACACCCATGTGAAGCAGTTTTTTCCCTTATTTTAAAGATGAGGAAAGAGGCTGAGAGTCATCAGGCAACTCATCCAAGTTCTGCCGAGGCCTGAACTCGTTTCAAGACGCCAGCAACCTCCAAAGCCCAGTCTCCCTCTACTTCCTGTCATCTGTCTCGAACTCCAGACAAACTGAACTACTCTCTTTCCCAAAAGACACCTGGACTTGTCCCGACAAGTTTTTATTTAGGCTATTTTTGATCCCTGAAATGCTTTTCTTCTTCCTCTCTCTTCATCCACTGCCACAGTCTTCATCCCTCTGAACATGGTGTGAGCTCCTGAGGTCGGGGACTGCGACAGCAACATCTTTGTGTCTCTCCTGCGCCCAGCACAGGGCCAGGTCTGCAGGAGGCTCTCTGCGATGGCACTGACCAGTTGGCCTCCATGGTAGTGCTGTCTGTCTGGGTGTTACCTGATAGAAATACTTCCTGAACAATGGACCCTGGAGGGGCAGGGACAGAGCCTTCAACTCTGCTCAGTAGTCCTACCTAAATGCATGGAGATTGGCTCTGGGCTGGGGCTAATGCTGGACTCAGAAAGTCCTTCAAGTGTGCCAGCCTGTGCATGCCTCCAGATCCGTGCACTGGCTGATCCCTCTACTTGGGTTTGCACGTGGCTGCCTCATCATTTAGTGCTCCGTTCACAAGTCAGTACCTACTTCAAAGGGGCTTTTTTTGATCCAACTCCTCCATTCTTTATATTCTTCTCATTACCTTACTTTTGTCTCCATAGCAGTTATGATTATCTGAAATTCTTAGGTATTTTATTTCCTCATTTACATTAATTCAGGGAGCTTACATTCTATTGGAGTGAGACACAATTAATAAATATATCATGTTAGATGATGATATATGCTATTCATGGGGAAAAAAAGCAGACCAAAGTAAAGATATGGGATATTTGAGCAGAGACCTGAAGGAAGTGAGGTAACAATCTGTCCCGATGTCCAGGGGAAGAGCCTTCCAGATAGAAGAAATGGTGAGTGTAAAGGCCCTGGTGCTGGAGCATGCTTGCCCTGCTCGTAGAACACCAAGGAGGTTATTATGTGGAGGAAGTATGGGAAAGGGTAGTTAGATTGCTCAGCTCTTTGTAGGCCTTGGTTAAGGACTTTGGTTTTTAATCTGAGTGAAATGGGAAGTCACTGTAGGTTTTGAGCAGAGAAGTAACATGATCTATTTTTTTAAAAGGATTTTTCTGGCTGCTACTGGAATATAGGGCATGGGGGGCAAGGATGGAATCTCCCCTACTGGTGACCAGTTTGTCCTGGTTTACTTGGGACTTACCTGGTTTCAGCCTTGAAAGTCCTATGTCCTGGAAACCTCTTCAGTCACAGGCAAACTAGGATGAATGGTCACCCTACAGGGAGACTAATAATCCAAGTGAGAGATGGTGGTGTTTAGAATGAGGTGATAGGGATGGGAAAATGATTTGGAAAGCAAAGCCTAAAGGTTTTGCTAATGGAGTGAGTTTGGGTGTGAGAAAATGAAGGGAGTCGAGGATGACTTACAAGCTTCGGCTTGAACAACCGGAAGGACAGGGTTGCCATTTACAGCAAGGAGAAAGGCTGGAGCAGTTCCCCTCCCCCCACCTCTTTCATTTATCCCAACCAGACTGGAGTAGGTTTTAGAGGGTGGATGATCAGGAGTTTGGTTTTGGACATGCTAGTCTGAGATTACTTAATAGACTGGCAAGTGGGGACATCAGTTGGCCTGTTATGAGCCTAAAGTTCTGAGGAGTGGTCTGGGCCAGAGAGATGAAGTTATTGGTGTAATAGGTATATACATGATATTTAAAGCTATGAGTCTGAATGAGGTCACTGAGGGAATGAATGCAGATAAAGGGCTAAGGACTGAGCTTTAGGGCATACTAGCATTTAGTGATCAGGGAAAAGAGGAGAAACCAGCCAAGGAGACTGCAAAGCAGGAGCCAGTGAGGTGGGAGAAGAGCCGAAGGTAAGTTGAACCTGGAGAGAAATCTGTGCTAGGTAGTGACCAAGTAACACTCTGGCAGAGGGGCCACAAAGAGGGAAGTAATTAAATGGTGCCAAGAAGCTGAGCTAGGCCCAGGGGTAGTACAGGGAGGCTGATGTTGGTTTAATTGGGAAAGGGCTTTCTAACCGAGCAGTCCATTAACAGATCAAGTTGTCACAAGAAGTGTGAGCAAGTAAGTCCTGGACCAAAGCAAGTTCCAGGGGATGAGTTTCTGGGTAGGGGAGATCTACAGGGTTCAAGCATCTGATGGGCTTTGTATTAGATTACCCTCAAAGCCCCCTCAAACTGGAGATGATGGGATTCTGGGAAGCCAACTGAAACAACTGTCACACAGTATGGAGTTTGAGCTGAACCTTGAAGGATAAGCAGGTATTCAGTGGGGGAAAGAGTGGGGAGAGGCACTTATGGGTGGAGGCAGTATGAGCGAAACTCCAGATACGTGAATAAGCAGGTTGGGTTAAGGAGTCTGGCCTGATCAGGAGGGAAGGGTATTTGAAGGACGGGGAGGAAGGTGATGCTGGAAAGGATGTGGGGCCAGAAAGTGGGGAGCTCCCACAGGACCTGGTGCCCAGTAAATGCTACTTATTGAAGGAGGGTAACGAAACAGAAATGAGATTGTATGAGCCAAGAAAGGAGACATAAATTGCTTGGTTCCCTTGAGCAGGTTTTCTCCTGACAATCAGGCCACAGACACCTTGAGGGCAGGGCTGCCCAAAGCTGTGTGTGCTTCCTGCCCCACTTTCCACTGGGAACAGGTTTTCATCAACTGTTTCTGAAAGCCCAGCAGCATGATTAAGGCCTTGAGGGACCTGGGTCCTTTCCTGGGGCTGCTCTCTGGGTTCACTACAAGGGGAAGGGGACAGACAATTCAGTGACTGGCTCAGGGTCTGATAGAAGAAGCAGACATGCACTCTGACACCATTAGATGGAGTTGTTATTATTAACCCGAGACTTCACTTCACAAGCAGTGCCCTCAGAATGCTCAATGCTCAGAACCCAGTGACCTCATCTTTAGGAAAACAATGGGGCCTGGGCATTCCAAGGACTCCTAGTCACTGGACAGATGGGTAGGTGAGCTCCTCTCAAAAGCCATCAGGTCTGGGAAGGTACCGAAGATCAATCTTATGGATTCCCAACCAAAGGACCTGAGCCTCCCTGGTGGTAAATGACCCTCCTCCAATCACCTACCTTTGTTTATGCCCTTAGTTTGGGAGGACACTCAGAGAAAGAAAATCTTTCGCATGGATGGGGTAATGGCTGCCCACATGGAGGAGTGCTAGAAAGTTAGGATATGGTTTCCTCTAGAAAACTAAGGATTCCTTGAGGGCTGAGGGGTACTATGAATACCCTAGGACATCACAACTGAATGGGGAATGGGTGGAATAGGATGGGACACTGGTGTCCCTGTCAACCACTAAACTTTTACTTTCTTGATGAGCCTTGCCTCTAGTGAGGTTTCTCAATCTGGTGGATTAGATGGATCCAGGGTTGGGAACCAGAAGCTTGATTTAGCCAGGGCAGGTATGCCCCTCCTCTGACCTAGCTTTCTATATCTATAGAAGGCTAAGCTGGCCTCTGAAGTTCCCTGATAATCTAGCTTTGACTAAGAGAATGATAAAGTCAATGAAGAGGGAGGGAAGAAATGAAGAGAGCGGTTAAGTAGATGGAATGCTGGATGGATTAAAAAAGAGGAATGAGAGAACTCAGGCTCCAAGCTAGAGCTATCAGCCAGCTTGCCTCTTTTTCTTTCTTATTGCCTTAGTGTGGGTCACGCTGTACTTTGGATTCCTGGGGCTGTGTTCAGTGATTACTGGTGGCTGCATTCTCTTTCTGCACTGGAGGAAGAACTTGCGGCGGGAAGAACGTGCCCAGGAGTGGGTGGAGGTGATGAGAACCACTGCGTTCACCTACAGCCCACTGTTGTACTGGATTAACAAGCAAAGGCACTATGGCATGAATGCAGCTATCAACATGGGCCCTTCTCCTACTGTCACTAAGACTGAGACTGAGGGCCCGAATTCAGATCCTCTGTGCGAGTCAGACAGCCCTGAGAGTAGGAACTATGCAGCTCAACAGAGCAGCCTCCAGGTGGAGGCTTCTGTCCCCCTGCAACCTGCATTGCAGCTGCTCCCACAGCTGCCCCTACCTGCCCCCATGCCTCAGCCCCAGGCCAGCACCCCTCTTTCCATCTTTCAGGAGGCACCCTTTGCCCTCTCCCTGTGTGACCTACCTCCAATGCGGAACCACTCAGTCTCTTACCCTTTGGCCACCTGTCCTGAAAGGAACATCAACTTCCATTCCCTCCCTACACTGGCCCATGGGGACCACCGCTTCAATGCCAAGCCTTTTGCTTCAGAATTGTAGCCTCTTTTCACTGAGGGTGGAAGCTGGAGGTATTAGGACAGAACTAACCTTGGAGGCAGTACACAGGCTAGGGCCCATCTGAATGTCACATAATAAAAGATTTTAAAAAGTCCCAGGCTTCCTTGTGTCTCATTTATTGTTAGGAGGGCAAAAGTTCTTTCCCTGTCTGATGGGGACAATTTGCGAACCAAACTGAAGGTCACTGAGTTATCACCAACACAAGTGGGAAGTGGAGGATTGGCTGTGAGAAACACATTGAACCGGTACTTGTGACGGGCTCAACAGTCCTCTACCCAGTATTTATTTGAGACCAAAAATGTGTGCCAGACCCTGGGGTAGGTACCCAAAGCACTGCTGTTCTATGGGACATTAAGCACAGCTGCCACAAGAGTGGTAACTGCAGGGTGGGTGAGACATGGTGGCCACATCGCAGGTGAGACAAGTCACTGAGATCCATGAGCCACATGGCACTGCTGGCTCAATCACATTGTTAACATGTATGTGTATTGAGTTGTGGTTGTCTCTACATTATTTCTAATAAAAGAACACTGCCAACGACTCTCCTCTTACATATGAAGGGATAGTTCCTAAGGGCGTTTGCCATGTTGTCATGCTACAGAGCAAGGTCTCAAATATACATCTGCCTGGCTTCAAATTTCTTGATCTTCCAACCATACACTCTGGTTTCCCTTCCCTAATGATGTATCTGGTTAGAAAACACTTGGCAAATGATTTCTGTGTGTGTGTGTGTGTGAGGTGTGATTAACATGGTCCATGGATTGGCTTGGGGGAAGGGCTGGTCAGTGATGCCCCTAAAATTATACACAGAAATGTATGCAGTTAAAAACAATCTTTCTCAAAAGCATTTATAGCCCCTCCAAAAAGTAAGATCCAGTATGTGAAATTAATTATTTTAAAGGCCTCATTTATTCATTTCTAGAGAGAGGGGAAGGGAGGGAGAAAGGGGGGAGTGAAACATCAGTGTGTGGTTGCCTCTTGTGTACCCCTACTGGGGACATAGCCTGCAACCCAGGCATGTGCCCCTATTGGGAATCAAATCGGCAATGCTTTGGTTTGCAGGCCTGTGCTGAATCCACTGAGCTACTCCAGCCAGGGTCGAAGATTAATTTTTGTATCTTCTGGAAACTATCCTACAAAGAGAAGCAAAGATAATACTGGCTGTTTGGTCCAAGACTAAAGGTAAGAAAGCTCAGTTTTGCCCCAGGAAATAAATTTTTTCCTTTCACTTTGGAAACAACAATCTTACCATATTGGTAAGATGTTCAAATGAGCTAAGCTCTATGTAGTTTTCCCTGAGAGGAAAGGTCACTCAGAGCGTGTGTGCATGATCCCAGAATCTAGCAATTGTGTAGAGCTTATTTTTCTCTTATTTTCCATTGTGAAAAAGCTCCAGCTCCTCTATGACCATTCTCTCTTTCTGTAAATTATTTTATTTTTTTAGTTTTAATTATATTTTATTATGCTATTACAGTTGTCCCAATTTTCCCTCTTTCCTCGCCCCCTCCACATAGCACACACCTGTCCCTTAGGCAATTCCTACACCACCGTTCATGTCCATGGGTCATGAGTATAAGTTCTTTGGCTACTCCATTTCCTATACTGTACTTAACATCCCCATGGCTATTCTGTAACTACCTATTTGTATTTCTTAATCTCCTCACCTCTCACCCATTCCCCTACACTGTCCTCCCATCTGGCAACAATCAAAACATTCTCTGTATCCATGATTCTGTCTCTGATCTTCTTGTTTGCTTAGTTTGTATTTTGGATTCATTGTAGACAATTTTTTTCCCATTTTATTGTTCCTAGTTTTGATCTTCTTTTTCCTAAATAAGTCCTTCAACATTTCATATAATAATGGTTTGGTGATGATGAACTCCTTTAGTTTTTTCTTGTCTGGGAAGCTCTTTATCTGCCCTCCAATTCTAAATGATATCTTTGCTGGCTACAGCAATCTTGGCAGTAGGTTGCTTCCCTGCTTTTCATGACTTTGAATATTTATTGCTGATCCCTTCTAGTTTGCAAAGTTTCTTTTGGGAAATCCACTAACAGTCTTATGGGAACTCCCCTGTAGGTAACTAACTACTTTTCTCTTGCTACTTTTAAGATTTTCTCTTTATCTTTAACCTTTGGCATTTCAATTATGATGCACCGTGGAGTGGGCCTCGTTGCATTCATCTTGTTTGGGACTCTCTCTGCTTCCTGGACTTGCAGGTCTATTTCCTTCACCAAGTTAGGGAAGTTTTCCTTATTTTTTTTCAAATAGATTTCTAATTTCTTGCTATTTCTTTTCTCTTTCTGGCCCCCCTATGATGTGAATGTTGGACCTCTTGGAGTTGTCCCAGAGGCTGCTTATACTATCCTCATTTTTTCGGATTTTCATCTTGTTTTCCTACCTGGTTGTGTTTTTTGCTTCCTTATGTTCCAAATCATTGGTTTGATTCTCAGCTTCATCCACTCTACTGCTGTTTCCCTGTAAATTATTCTTTATTCCAATTAGTGTATCCTTCACTTCTGTATGGACTTTTTTAATGCTGTTGAAGTCTTCACTAAGTTCCTTAAGCATTCTTATAACCAGTGTTTTGAACTCTGCATCTGATAGATTGCTTATCTTCATCTCGTTTAGCTCTTTCTCTGGAGTTTTTATCTGTTCTTTCATTTGAGCCATATTTCTTTGTCTCATTTTGGCAGTCTCCCTGTGTTTGATTCTATGTATTAGGTAGAGCTCTTGGACTCCCTGTGTTGGTAGCATGGCCTAATGTAGTAGGTATCCTGTAGGGTCCAGTGGCATAGCTTCCCCTATCACCCAAACTGGGTAGTCAAGGTGAACCCTTCATGTGAGCTCACCCTCCTCTTGTAGTTGAGATTTGATTGCTGTTGGCAGGTCAATAGGAGGAATTTACCCAGGCTGGTCAGCTGCAAGGGCTGGCTGTGAGCACTGACCGCCAATCTCTGCCCTCTGGGGAAGATCAGCTGTGCAAGAGCTGGGTGATGGTGCTCTGACATGGTCTGTAGCTGTCCATGGGGTGCACAGGCTCTGCGGTTTCCCAGGTGGTGCAGGCCAAGGTCAGTCTCCACCTGTGTTGTGCTTGGGGGCCACCCTGCCTGAGCTACAAAGCAATCTAAGATGGCTGCTACTTGTGCTGGGTTTGGAGATTCCCAGGCAAAGCCAAGCTGTGAATCTAGGCTGGTTGCTGCTAGTGCCAGGCCTGGGGCCACTTAGGAAGAGGCATGGGACCTGGGGGCTCACTGAGGCCAGCTGTTGTTTGAGATTCAGAAAGTTGTGAAACATGAGCTGAGATCAGCCATTCATATGGAAAAGGCACCACCAACAACTTGGGTGGGCCCATAAGTTGGGTGGGACAGTCTCAGGGGATCTCCAGGTTGGGGCAAACAGTGTTAGCCAGGTTGATGGAGTCTCAGATATGGCTCCCATCTGCCAGGTCTGATATGACATCAGCTTGCCAGCTCTGTGAGAGGAGCATTCAGGAAAGGGACAATGGCTTCTACCACCTTTGTCTGGAAAAAAGCTATCCCCCAGCTCTTGCCTCGATGCCAGACACTTCAGTTCTTCCCTATATGCCACTGGTGCCTTTCAAGCTGCTAACACATGCTGGAGCTCAGACAGAATGAGTCTGAGTAAGTCCATGCATGGGTTTTTTAATAGGAACCGCTTGGGACTCTATAAGTTTCTTCCATCAACTCAATCCCCACTGGTTTTTGCAGCCAGGAGTTACAGGGACTTTTGGCACTGGAACCCTGCGCTGAGGGATCTTGGGTGGGGCTGGGACTCCTCAGTCCCACTGTATTCCTCCTGAGTATTTATATGCCACACATGGATGTGGGACCAGCCCATTCCATATCCCTGCCCCTCCTATCAGTCTAGAGGGATGCAGTTTCTTTAATTCTGTAGTCGTCAGACTTCCATTCAACTCAATTTCTGAAAGCTTTTGAGTGATGGTTTCCTACAGTTTTGTTGTAATTTTGATGTGCTTGTGCAAGGAAGTGAGCTGTGTTTATGTATGCTGTCATCTTGACTGGAAGTTCACTGTCTTGCAATGAATTTCAAAGCTTTTCTTCTTAAAGACAGAGGAATATTTCTTATAAACATGCTTATGCTGAATTTCAACATATGAAACAACCCTAAGTAAAACTTCTCTGGTTGATACAGGTGCAGGGGCTCACTTATCCTTCTCCCTGCCAGATCCCAACCTACAGATGCCAGAGAAGCGGCCTTCACTCCTTCAGGCCAAATTCTGTGTTCATCAGGTAGAGTCTTCAACCTGTGCCCACAGGGGGCAAACATTGTAACCACGATGTTTGTCTTTGTTTTCAAGAGGAGGGAGGAGCCAATAAAAATAGGGATCACAGTACACATGCTCACTCAACAGCTGCTACCACCCCCACTGACTAGTACAGTGAAGTCATCATTGTTCACACATGCACATTCCAGTCCACTCTCCTTGGCTGCCAGGTTACATGGAGGTTGCATAAACTGTTCTTGTTATATTAACAATGGCTGGACTTTTTCCAGACAGATTTTATATTTATTTATATATATTTATTTATATTTTCCTTAGTAATCAGGGGCGAGGGGCCCTTTAGTCATAGACACAGTGGGAGAGAAAGAAAAATCTTTTATTTAGATAAATTAAAATGGCTGTATTACTAATATGAAATAAGCAAAGTTCAAATCAAGTCATGAAAATCTTGTATTCACTCCCTTGACAGAACCAAAACTACTTATACATTACCAAAATAGCTCCACTGATGCAAAGTAGATCAACATTTGTTAATGTGAGAAAACAAGGTAGGTTAGATTCATATAACAAACAATACATGCTCTAAAAAGTCTCAGGAATACCCAAATGTGTTTTGGTTCGGATATGAGAGAAGAGACTGCATCTAGTTGGTGCTGTTGGTACACAAGCCAATGAGGTGTGCAGCAAACAAAAGCTGTCACTAAAAACAACTCAACAGCTGGCTGTTACAAGTAGGAGCCCATCACAGTCAAAATCTTCAGCTGTGACCG